TACTAAGTTTGATGGGGAAGTCTACTTTCCGTGGTATAATCCTAAGAAAGAATTTGTGAATTGATATTACTATGAATATATGATAATTATTATACAGTGGTAATCCCTCAACCCCTAATCATGGCCATACCCCCAGTAATATTAGTTATTTTGTGTTATTACTTACAACCTGCTCTTTGTGATAATATTACTTCCATCCTATCCTTTGTGAGATAATGAGGGGAATCTATTTTACAATTGTAAATGATGGATAATGGTAAATAGTGAACAGTGTGTGAAGAGTGCTGCGGTATTTTCCTCTACTGCCATCGTGCATACAAAAGACCTAGAATATCCCCATGGATGTAGGTAATGAAATAAATGCACCTCACAAACATAAACCTCCTGGCAATATGTATTATGCATTATCTAGATATTTGTTGGGGTATATATTCAACCCTATAAATATTGCTGAGAGCAAGTCTTTGTATTCACTCTTACTTCATGATGAGGACCATTGCAAATATTCCCCCATTAGGATTAATGCTGAATGAAATGAGCCCGCTGGAATAAACCTCAAGATATTGTCTTTGTCTGTAATATACGGAAGTTCCTATGAAATTTATATCCTAGATATATATTACTGACAGTTTTTTTTTTTTGTATAAAAAAGGCCTTCCAGGTATGCAGTATTCAAGCCCTTTAGACTTTAAATTTGTGATATATGTTATTTTCAATTGGTTTTATATGGTGGAAAAATAATATTCAAGCCCGATACTCAAATTTTTACTGCTGTGATACTTTTCAGGAAACTAATGAAAGAATTATGTTATTGAATTATTGGAAGCTTTTAGGAATATTCACCCTGATTTTGTAATGAGTATTATTATTTATGGGATTTTGTAAATCATTGTACCGTAGGTTCCTAACATTTCAAGTGAACTTCTTTTGGATTAACTTTTCACATACTATGCTTGAAACTAACCATATTTCATGAATATAAAAAATTTATTTTGTCAAATGATAAAAGTATAATTTCTTAAAAAAAAATATTGCTTGAAATAAAATTACTGTAAGCTATGGCCGCATTGCTTCCCGGGGTGATTTCCTGGCTAACTTTGTGTTAAAATTTTTTTATTTGCATGCTTCATAAATAGCTTCAATGGAATAAATAGGAATACTAATGGGTATGGTGCCAAACCACTCCACACTAATTAGCAGTAACCGTACTCATATAAATAAAGAATTTATTGCAAGTACAATTAAAACAGATAAATACATTTGCTATTACAGGAAGACCATTTATTTAATATTCTTCTTTGTGTCTAAAGTTTGGACTCTGTTAGGGATTTAGACAACCCCCAAGCTCTTACAACCACCACATGACCTTTCTGCATACCAGTAATGTATTCAAAGACTTCCCATTTGGCACTTTGAATGTGATTGGTGATTAGGGCTATGCAGTATGGTATCTGACCCTGTGATGAAGGATGAGTGTCTTTAACCCTTATGACCACTGTTAATCAAAGAAATGATGTACTGTTAAAGGACATGACTTGTGGAACTCTCACTTATACCACATGAACGAATTCTGCCCAGATCCACCAAGGAAATTTAAATTACTGTATGTGCATAAAGGAATCCCATTGTATTATCATTATTAGAGAATACAAAGCATGACTACTTTGGGTGTTATTTAGGCCTTATTATGAGAATTATTCAGGGCTAGATCACTAAGACCTGCCAGTTATTTTACCATTGTGGAATTCCTACTGATAAACATGGTTACCATCTCATACTTATGAAAATCGCTTTATTACCTCCGGAACTGCTGTCACACTGGATAATATATGGCTCTTGAGTCCTCTCAGGAGGCACAGATCAACATTAACAGCATCCCGCTAACTCCTGTCTCAAGAGAGATTGGACGTATCATATATCAAAATTATATTCCACTCACCACGAGTATTTCAATACACTTCCTCTAAGGCTTCATCTGGATTCATGAATTATCCCTCACTGGGGCCTAATGCAAATGAAAATGAGAAAATTTCTTTTTATGCAGAATATCACGCATCTTCATTGCTCCCCTTGGATAGGAATGACTGAAGTACAGAACTACTCAGCTTTATTTAGGAGGAGAGTTAAAACGGCTCTCATATATTTGGGCAACTACTGTGTAATTCGTGGTCCCAGGAGACAGACACCCACTTAATCTTGAGAGGGAAAGGAACTTTGTAGAGATCCTTAAAAGAAAAAAAATTCTCATAAGCTGAAGCAAGAAAGATACTTGATATGACTGAGCTCTCAAAGCATAATGAACTCGCAGAAAAGACTACCTGAACATTAGATAAGTCCTCGAAATACAAAATCTTATTGCAGTATCCATATCGATATAGAGTCAGAGCCATTAAGCTGTGGCATGTTCCTAAAGGAAGCTGTGTAAAACTTGACAGAGAAATGTTTGCATATGGGGAAATTCGCATTGTTTGTAATGGAGTATAGGCCATTGCCGGAGTAGAGAAAACTAACCCCTGATTGGGGAGATTCAGTCGGAGCCTCTAAGTCTCTGAAGTAATGTACCATATCAGCAAAAGGCCCCAAGAGAAGACAAGTCACCCCTTACCAAGGAGTGGCTTTGATGAAGACCTAAAAGGCAACTGCTTCAAGAGAAAGAAATTATTGTCGAGGAGTGGAGGAACATATGAGGGCATTCAAGAAGGACTTGAGATTCTGCCCTTGGGCTGACAATGATTACCCAATAAACTAATTTGGTAATGGAAAGATTCCCCTCCCCCATTGTGGTAACTAAGTAGGGTAAAAGAGGGAAGAGTAAAGTAGGTAATATACTTTGGATTTCACAGATGTTTATTCACAATTTCAAAGAAAAATTTGGAAAATCCCTAGCATTTTTTGAACTTTCGATTCAACATGGTATTCCCCATGCAGCCAGTTAACTCATAATTCTTTTTCTCCCTATTTCCTTCTCTGAAATATTGTTTTCGTAAAATAGGATGGAGAAACTGTCACATGCAGAGCAACAGATGAGGGAGGGATAGAGAAGTATTTCTGGAGCCTCTATGAGTTGTGATGCCAACCCCCATTGCTCATAGCGGCTGGAAAATGGATCACTAATGTGTACATGTGGCTGGAACTAATAGTTTTGTGTCTTTTTTTAAGAGTAATTTGATTCCAAGTGTAGCAGAGCATTGTTGGAGTGTGACTTTCGATGGGCTAAATGGAGACTCAGAAAAATGTGCTTTTCCTCCTTCAAAGAGCCTTATTTTTCATAATGCAAATATGAACTTGACGTGAAATGTAATATAATTATTTTTATTTATTGAATAGTTTTTGTTGTATCATACAAATTATAAAGAAATTTATTGTAAATATATGCATTTTCTTATTTAATCACTTCTGTATTGTATATTTTGTGTCATAATGTAAAAATAAATTCTTACATGTTGTACAGAATATATAACGATATTAATGTAATCTACATGGGTCCCTTAAATGTTTATATATGGAAATGGAAATTGAATCAGGTATAAAAATAAGCCCATATCAAAGAATAAATCTGATATTATTTAAAGTGTTTCCTTTTATCATCCTCGATGCCTATGACAAAAATGACCTTGGTAAGCTCCTGTAACCTGCTGAACTACAGCAGTGTGTAGAGGAGACTTCTTTTGTCAAGTGGTAAAACTGATCATATAATCACTTGAGCGCTGTGTTTCATTGTTTAATGTAATATATCATAATACTTCCTAACTATAGAGAAGTTTATTGTGAAGGGCTTCTATTCATCATTATTCAGCTGGACATACTTGACGTTTTCTATATATATATATATATATATATATATATATATATATATATATATATATATATATATATATATATATATATATATATATATATATATATATATATATATATATATATATATATATATATATATATATATATATATATATTATATATTTTTTTTTTTTTTTTATAGTGTATCAATATGATATCCACAAAAGATAATATATATAATTTTTTGGTGACATGATATATCCCACTGAAGCCAGAGAAATATTCCCGCAACTTTTCAGAAAGGTGAGGCCATATGGCTCCATTATACCTTGCCCATTCTTACCCCTCCCATCAACTGTTACATAGCAATAAATGAGAATTCAGGGAGGCTAGAACTGCCAGCTCTTTGCTCATCTGTCTCTTTTAGTCAGCTCTTTCAACACAACAATATGTGATGTATGAATTTCCTGGAGCACTGGATGTAGTGACAGATATGGGGATGCATATCAAAATGTGTGCCAGCAACTTACCAGTACTGGACAACGATATGTAGCAAATGACAGACATTTCATATCCTTGCTCACCTTTCCTACAAGTTTCATTTTGGCACATTGTATATGACTTAAGTAAACATAACCAGTAGATCTCACGTTTGATCCTGTGAATGAGTTACGTCTTCTAGTATCACTTATCTTTTCCTGCTGTAGCCATGTCATCTCCCCTCAGCTCTGTTATTTCCTTAATTCTTACATTTGTTTTAGCATATCCATCTTGCCAAAGAGGTTATATATTACGGAGCAATGAAGTATCCATCATAACAAATTAGAAGAATGCAAACTGCCTCTTTGGTGTGTTCTGCAATCAAAGTAGCCTTTAGGCTGATAGATACACCTGTATCATTATGTACTGAAAAAAATTTTGCATTTTTTCTAGACGAAAGCTCAGGACAACTTTATTTATTTTTGTCCCACAACTTTAAACAGATAGTCATTTCTTTGACTTGAGTCAGTCTTGATGTTACGTTGGTTTTTCTCAATAACTGGAGAAATATTATTCGACTAATGTTAGTTTATTTAATTTTACGTTGCTCAGCAGCAAAATATTGTGGTTAGTTTTACGTCATGGACTCCCCTTTCTATTAAGGGCTAGGACAGTGCTTTCTTGTGAGGGACTTTTGGTTTTGGCAAGTGCAACCAATACCCTGAGTGAATGGCCTTTCTAACCTCAGACCGTAGTGGGTTTCAAACCCACGGCAGGATGAATCACAGTCATGAGTGTTACCACTCAGCTACGGTGGCTGGCAGCAAAATCTTTCAAAACTAAAAAATAAAAAATCACTTATAAGAAATATAAAAATAAATGTAAAATTATTTAAAATGTATATAATAGTTTTAAAGTAAATTTTTTTTATAAACATTGTATATAGTATGTACTATACATTTGTACAGGGGATTGGGGTAGTTTTTAAAGGGTATACAGAAGGTATTTGAAAATAAATTTTCTATATTTTTCTTTACATTAGCATTATATGATATGTATATACTGTATATTCATTTAAAACCACAGTTAAAATTTTGAACTTTCAAACGATGCTTATAGGTGGTCTAGGCCATCTTAGAAGCGCATTTTCAATATAAGTCGTGTGAGTTTTGGAAGGCATTGAAGATTTAGGTTAAGATATTACTGTACTTTTGTACTTCACAAATCTAAACTGATTCCTTTTGCAAAATACCTTAGTCCATGGTAACTTTTTAAGTAACATTATTTGTATATTAAATCAATGCATATAAACGTTTTGTGATCCTGTAATTACTTTGTACCAAATAATCAAGCGTAATGCTGGAATTAGTAAAGTCTCAAAGAATTAATTTGTTGCAAACTCAGATAATGCAAAATAAATCTTTAAAGCCAAGACCTTGTAAAGTAAAGTATGCTTCTAGATATTGTAACACAAGATATTTTAAATAACAAAGCAGATATAGTGTATCATAAATATTTTATTTCTGATTATCTACACATAATGAAAAGTCATATCAGACTTAAAAGCTGTGCTCTGGAATATACCATTGATTCATTATAACTTTATTCATCATACTCTCCTCAGTAAACCATTAAAGTCTAATATAGACTTGTTTACCAACCCTCCGGGGTTTTAGATAGTTGTTATCTACATTATTCTCTACATATTCGAACTTCTGATGCAATAATTCTCTATCCAACTGTCATCATTTATACAGTGTTATTTATATGGTTTTCTTAAAAATTGGGAAAGTGACTTAAAAAGTTATTGGAAAAGTGCACCTAACCTAAGATATTACTATAAAAGAGATAGTCGGACAATTGCTCGCAACATATTACCTTCCATCCACTGCAAAGAATATGGACAAACATCTGTTGTTCTGCAGAGATATCTGAAGAACTGGAATGAGATAGAGATAGTATTTTTACAATTCTATTGTAATCATGCTATTGGCTTATGAGTAATGCAACATATATATAAATAAACATGAATAAAATTATCTTCCAGTTCTAGATTGGCATCACTGAAAGCTTTTGGGTATTGGTAAATGCTACAGCTGTGCAAGGGAATGCGACCCTAAGTAACCTATGAGAAGATGGAGAAAATACAAAAGAACTCTTTGACAAGCTGCTTATGTCCTTATATCATAATGATCCTTCACCTTGGAAGAAAACAGACCTTAACCAAAATAACGATAGGAAAATGTTGAGGGTTTGACTAAACCACCTAAGTATAGACACCAGTAATGAATAAATCACTCTCATTCTAATTTGCACACTTTAGTCGTAAAAATAATGAATAGGACATTTAACGATATTGGTAATTTCCTAAATAAGAATACACAATGCGGGAGATAAAACTAATAAAGATATGCTAAAATACAAGAAGATAATGGAGAGGATTCTTATTATATAACACCAGAGGAAAACTTGATAATCAGTATTATTACATAACACAAAGGGTAATGTCTCGTATTTTATTTCATGATAAAACAAATATGTACTTCATGAAGAATACATTGGAAAGGACAATACAGGACATAAAAGAAATATGAAAGTAAAAACCAGAGACACGGAAACTTATGTCATTGGCTGAAGGAAAGGCTTTGTGCTGTGCTTTAATTAGGTATTTCAACTGACCTTTTATGCCACTGCTAATAGAAGTGTTTAATTCCATAAAGTGAAACCAATATCATTCTCATTGGATGAAAAGTGCATTGCAGGACTGACTTGAAATACCAGCAAATTGGTTTAAGGATGATGTAAGGGCTAAGATTCTACAGCAATTGCAGAACTAATTTCAAATACCAGTGAATTGGTTTTAGGATGATGTTAGGGCTAAGATTCTACATATCTGTGCGAGAGCTAGAAGAGATAGGAGTTTAATGTTTTATTGTATATACCATGTCCGAGGTTGATATTAGTGGATGTAAAGAAAATGATTTAGGACTCTTATGCTCTTATCAAACTTTGTAATCCCTGACCCCATTTTCCCATAGATGTAAATGGGGTGCTGAGTTAGAATTCTTGAGATATTGAAGTGAGGAAGACAGACATATAAGGCTTTTATATCATCAATTCATACCTAAGAAAAGTGAATTGGGAAAGCTACGAGAAACTTAAGAATGATTTTAAGTGACAATAAAAGTTATGTTCCCTGTGACTGCCTTTGTCAAAACTGAATACAAGTTGATTTAGATCCAGGATGGGATCTGAGTTCAGTAGGAGCTAACCTCTTCTTGGAGACTTCCATCTTATAAGAGTAGTTGAGGGGTGATATTTGGTATTCAGATGTTGGCTTTCAAAATGTTGTATATGTATGATACAAACATTTTAATTTTGTGGGTTTTGTAATCCCAGAAAACAGCAATTTTAGTTCTTACTTTCTCTGCTTTGATGTATGGTGAGTAAAAGGAGCTCTTTGTCTCCTTCCTTGGACTGAGGTCATAGTTTAAAAATCTCCTGATATTGTAGCAACATTTTCTACTGAACTTGATCATCTGCAAAGCTACTTGTTAGCATGTTTTTTTTTTTTTTCCAAAGTGATGGTGGTGCTATCAACCCAACTTCAGCATTCACTAAGTGGTAGAGGTAAACGCCTGCCTTGATGGAAGTAAGTCAAATAATACACAAAAATTCAAATTAGAGCTATGCCTTGTATCCATAAAATTAAGTGTCCTAACTAGTAATTGAACCACCTGAAATGGCCTACTGTCCGTAAAGCAATGAAGTTTCCCTTATAAATGCAAATTAGTTCAAAATGCTTAACTGCAAAATTGCAACCCAATCTAGCTACTACTTCTCTAGTCTCATTGTAATCAGTAAAAGGAGATTTCCAAGAGTGAAACCAATTTCAATCCCCAAAGACATCATTGAAGCAAACCTGATTGCATCTAAGTGAGTAATGAGAACAATGTCTTCCCTTTTTTCCATTCTTCAGGCGACAGACCAAGTAGGGAATAGTGCAGATTACACCAGGTAGAGGTAAAGACTAATATTTAATCATGAAAGGCTTTTTAATATATAGCATCCAAAAGACCAACCTTGAAAAATACTAAAACGATGTGCTAAAAGAGAGGAGTGAGAGAAGTAGAGAACATCAAACTTGAAAATATCCATAAGGTCAAATTCAAGACCATTTAATTCCATAAAGGGGGTCCTCGTTTAACGTCAGGGTTCCGTTCCTGACAGATGACTTAAAGCTGATTTCGACGTAAGTCGGAATTCACTTAAATTCGAACCTAGGTACCCCAACCTAAGCTAAAAATAGATAACTATACTCATGTACTGTAATACAACCACAAGTAATTTTAAAGTACTGTACACATAGCTTAAAATATAGTTCTAAGAAAACTTAAAAGCACATGAACCATTATGGTGGTCTTCCTGCAGTAGAGAAAACTAGCTGAACATTTAACGACAAATGGGAAGGTGGTTGGAAAGCATGGTATAAGGAAGAGGATTAAGTGAATAAAATTCTATGAAACTTACCTTAAACTAAGATTCTGTTCACTGTAACAAGGAGAAATGAAAAGAGTGCCTACTGAATGTCTCTGCTTTACAAATAATGATGAAGCTATTGTCATCATGGTCAGTGCTTTCCACAAAAGTTTCAGTTGGCACAGCATTCAACATATTCGCCAAGGTTTATCATCCTGTTTGTGGCTGTACACATTTTTTGTTCAACATTACAGTTATTTTGTGCCAACCCAAGGAGGAATACCTTTTGTGATAGTTTCTATAATCGCTTGTACATTATAAAGGATAATAATTACATAATACAGTAGTAAAGTAATAATCACAACGAAGTTTGTATTCTGCATACTTAGTATGAAATATAATACTGTGTATAACTTCGTTGTCAGCTTTAAGTAATGGGTTGGATGCCTTTAATCAACATCTAAATGAAGTATATCTATTATCATTAGGGTAAATGGGTACTTTACCTTAGGTTCATTAGGGATATCAAGCTGAGTAGCTGCTCTAAGCCTTGAAAGAGGACTTTCTGTGTCAGAGACTTTGGGATGTCTTCGTCTAGGAGTCCTTAATAATTGGTGTCGACTGTACTGATTTTGGTAATTCTGATTTGTGTCGACTAGTTTAAATTTATCTGTGTAAAGAAAAATAATGTTTCATGATACATCTATACTTAAAATTAAAGTAACGTTTCTCAAACCTAGCATTAAAGGATTTTCTTGACTAAATCAGTACAAGACTGCAAAATGATAGTTGGGTGGAGCAGCAAACCAACATTTTATAGTGTCTCCATATGCCAAAAAATACAGTATATTGAACTGTATGGGTAATATTTCTCTGAAATGGTCTTGCAGTAATATATAAAATAGTAAAACGAAATTTGTTCTAACCAAGAAATCTTGTACTGTTGACATAGGTTCTTGAAGGAAACACTCAGTTCTGGCCTTAAAGTCTATTATGAGAAAATATATACCTATATATTTACAAGAGACTAGACACCTGAATATACACATATATTTACAAGACACTATACACCTGGGCAAACGGGAGAGGCACTAGACTTGCATAACTAACAGGGTATGAGGCTGATACACAAGTGACAGGTCACGAAGCTGATACAAGACTGACAGCATATGAGGCAGATACATGATTAACCATATAGTAATGCATTACTTATGAAGAGAACTTATCCTTCACAAACTACCCCGTTCACTAATTGGCTTGTTCACAATACCATATATAGTTTCAAGGCTCCAACAGCCGAAATGGTCATCAGCTATCAGTAAAATGTGCTAGCTAACAG